CGTGGGCCGCTGGGCCAACAGCCCTAAGGGAAGCGCCAGCAACGGCGCAGCAACACACGGGACCCCAGCACCGCCACCCAGGCCGACTAGCGCGGGAAGACGCGAGGCTAGGCCTGGATGGCAAGCCAAGGGCGGGACTGACGTGCGCGCAGCAACTGGCGCCTGGCCGAGCGCAGCTGGCCCCTACAGCAAAAAGTAAGGCGCAGGCGGCAGCGTAGCAGCACACGGGGCGACCCCAGTGCCGCCACCCAAGCCTACAAGCGCAAGGGGGCGCGAGATGAGGCCAGGATGGCAGGCCAAAATGGCCAGGCGCCCGACGGCGACGCTGCAGTGCGCGGGCCTGCCCCAGCACCGCCAGCGAGGCCAATGGGCGCAAGTGAACGTGAGGAGGCCGAGATGGCAAGCCAGATGGCGAGCCAAGGCGGCAGAGTGCACGGGTAGCCTTTCGCCTAGCCTAGGCGAAGGCCACAGGTGACGCCGCGCGAGTGGGGGCGCCGCTATGGGCCCGCCGCACTACAGAAAGCCGCGAGTAGACAATTTGGCATGCACTCACGCGGCCTGTCAAGGCCCTGGAACCTGCTGGGCATTATCCCTCAGGCCTGCTGGCCTGATCCCTGCGCGATGGCGGCGAAGACCTGCGACGGCAGCGCCCGCGCCTCCCCGCCGAGGTCGCCACTGCCCCCCGCCTGCCCTGCGGGCCCAAAGATCTGGCGCTCGAGGTCTTCACCGAGGGCCACGTTCAGGGCTGCAGCGCTTGGGACCTGCTGCGGGGGCGCGCCCGTCTGCGGCGGCGGGTGGGTCGGCGGCGGCGGCGCATCAGGGGGCGCCGTCGGCGGCGGCGGCGGGGGGCCCATGATGGCCGCGGCCTCTGGCGGGGCCCCCGTCGGCGGTGGCGGCGGGTCCTCGCTGCCGCGGGCCCCGCTCGCTGGCGGGGCACTGGCGTTGCGAGCGGGGGTGGCGCGCGGGGCGACCCCTGTACCACCCCCGCCGCCCGAGAGGCTGCCCACTTTCAGGTTGTGGCGGCGCTCGTAGTGCGCCAATTCCCTGCGCGCCATCTCCAGGCGCTCCCTCTTGGCTTCGTTCCGCGTCTTCCTGCTGCGCCCCGCCCATTCGGGGTCGTTCAGTCCCCGGGCGACCTGCGCGTAGAGGTCGGCCCACTCGAACGCGGGCAAGCTCTCCCAGGTGAGCCCCTCCATCAGCACATAGTGGCCCTCCCATTGTGCCTGGTGTGGGGCATAGCGCTTGAAGACGGCGCCAACCGCCATCGGCTCTACCTTGGGCAGGCGCTGCAGAAGGTCCACCGCGTTGAGCACTGTGATCCCCTCATTCTTGAGTTTGTCGTAGCGCAGCAGGGCCTTCAGGTCGCGGATGTCCTCCTCGGGGTGCTCCGCGTGCATGTAGTACGCGCGTGGCGGGTTCGCCTCCTCCTCTATGAACTCGACGCAGACTCCGTAGGAGTTCGAGTAGCGCGCCCCGCAGTGGCAGTGCCAGCGCTGGCCCGTCTCTCCCGCTGCCTCCTGGGCGCATGAGAGCAGCTGTGACCAGCGATCCGAGCGGATCACCGAACAGCATCCCCTGGGGTTATCCCCGGTCTTGTTGGCCGCGCACTTGTAGTACATGTTGAACGTGAAGCCCGTGAACTACTACTGATACTACTACTACTACTACGACTACTACTACTACTACTACTACTACTACTACTACTACTACTACTACTACTACTACTACTACTACTACTACTACTACTACTACTACTACTACTACGACGACTACTACTACTACTACTACTACTACTACTACTACTACTACTACTACTACTACTACTACTACTACTACTACTACTACTACTACTACTACTACTACTACTACTACTACTACTACTACTACTACTACGACTACTACTACTACTACTACTGCTACTACTACTACTACTACTACTACTGCGACGGCTACGACTACGAACGCCACTACTACTACTTCTTCTTCTTCTACTACTACTACTACTACTACTACTACTAACTACTAACACTAACACCAACACTAACACTAACACTCATACGAACACCACTACTACTACTACTACTACTACTACTACGACTACTACTACTACTACTATACTACTACTACTACTACTACTACTACTACTACTACTACTACTACTACTACTACTACTACTACTACTACGACTACTACTACTACTACTACTACTACTACTACTACTACTACTACTACTACTACTACTAACTACTACTAACTACTACTACGACTACTACTACTAACTAACACTAACACTCACGAACACCACGACTACTACTACTACTACTACTACTACTACTACTACTACTACTACTACTACGACTACGACTACTACTACTGCTACTACTACTACTGCTGCTACTACTACCACTACTACTGCTACTACTACTACTACCTTTACTACTACTACTACTACTACGACGACTACGACTGCGACTACTACTACTACTACTTCTACTACTCCCACTACTACTACTACAACTACTACTACTACTACTACTACTACTACTACTACGACTACTACTACCGTTACTACTACTACTACTACTATTACTACTGCTACTACTACTACTACTACCACTACTACTACGACTACTGGTACTACTACTACTACTACTACTACTACTACTACTACGACTACTGGTACTACTACTACTACTACTACTACTACTACTACTTCTACTACTACTACTACTACTACTACTACTACTACTACTACTACTACTACTACTACGGCTACCACACTTACCACCACTACGACTATCACTACTACTAGTACTTCGATTACTCCTACGATATTTTTCTACATAAATGTCGCATCCCTGTCGCACCAACAGACGTGTGGGTACGGTGGGCCGGGCATTTCGCCTGAAACGCTCTCATCATCTATGATCCTGAAGCTTGTGCTTTGGAGCAAGTTCTCGAATGGGTGGGCCGACTTCAAAAGGGGGTTCCCGCCACACCACCGCGCACACTCGTTTTAAAATGTGCAACTGTCTCACAGATGCAAGGCTGACGTTTTCTGAAAAATGGGTCACGATTCGGCGCCGCCCACATTTGTTAAGCAAACAACTCCAACAATTTGAACGATGGAAAGCAGATGGTTTTCAAAATGAGGTGTTCGCGTTAACGGCGGGCGCATCCGTCTTAGAACATTGCAAGAATTCAATGGACGGAAGGCGGGCAGTGTTCAAAAGGCTGCGCTCGCCTCAGCTCCGCGCTCATATGTTTCACAAGTCCACAACCGTTTCGGACATGAAGGGTGGCACATTTTCAAAATATGGCTCCCGCCCCAGAGCCGCGCACAGTCGTCGTATAAGCTAACAAAAGCTTCAAGGAACCGCTCGGCCGAAGTCAGCTGAAATGTGATCTGGTCAGAATGTGGATTGTCAAAACGCAATAGCCGTGATGATTCGCCATGGTGTTCTGCAACGGCGTAGGACTGTCAGGATCCAACAGCCATACTGACGCTCAACGAATTCGTCCAACGAATATTGTTTTGGCCCGACGAAGGATTGGCGGGACGCAATCCTCACGTTGACTCCCGACACGAAGTCGAAGGAGCGGTGTTTGGCACGATGGGAATGGTCAGGCGGTTGCCTTCCAACGGGGCGTTCCCCGCAATGGACATATCTTATATCGAGGGCGGTATGAACAACAAAAGTTATGGGGGAAAGGTGTATTGCAACATCGTTAATGCGTCTTGGGTTTCACTACGCAGGTCTTCACCCTCGTCTTCCGGCAGGCCGCGGGTCAGGGTAGACGAAGTATCTCGCTGGCCAAAGCTTTTTGGTCGGGAGCTGGCGCGGTTCCCCCACCGCCTCTCAGTCTTGACGGAGCGGCCTCTCCAGGAACGACGAGCGAATGGCGACCGCTCCTAGGGGGAGGGGGCGCGCAGCGAGGAAATATAACATACAGAAGGAAGGATACACGGGAGGATGACACCGGGTTCTCCTCCTCAGCCTCTCGATTCAGGGAGCCCACACAAAGACGTACGCGCCCAACAGCGTACATGAACACGGCCCTGAATCCGCGAGACTAGCCAGTGTGCTCTCGAAACGATTCATCTACGTGAACGTCCTTCTTTCGCTCCTCACCTCCGCAGCCTCCTCCCCGACCCCCTCCTCGCTCCAGGCCCGGCTGACCCCGCCCCCCCGCCCGCCGCCATGCCACACCCTGCCACCTGCCCTGCCCACAGGCCGTCCACACGACATGGGGCCCAAGCTGATGGACCTGGAGAGTCGCGGCGCGGCGCCGACGCGCGGGCGATGCGGCGCGATCCGCCGACCTACAGTGGTGCGGCCTCAACTGCCTCACCCCGCCTTGGCCGCCAGAGTGGAAAAGGGGGGGGGAGGAGGAGGAGAGGCGGCAGCAGCAGCAGCAGCACCGGGAGGAAGGGGGGGGAGACAACCGAAAGAAGGAGGAGGGGGGAATGATATCCCCCTTCCCCAGACACTCGGCGGTCCGATTTTGAATGCGCCGGCAAAGCTCTCGACCAACTCCCGCGGGGCTGGCTACTCAACCCACGTGTGTCTTGAAACTGACCTCCAGGAGTCCAGAGTGATGAATAACCAGCCGTGCTGATTTGCTGGAGCCCCGCGTTCCCTTGCTCGTGCCACGGCCCTGTCCTGAGACTGACCTCCAAGGATACGAAACGATCACAGTCCCGCTGCCTCCACTTGCTGGAACCGCCAATGCTGTTTGGGCCCCGCCCGCACCGCCCACCCGGCCGCCCCCACCACCCCCACCGCGGGCTGGGCGCTAGGTGGCCCACACGCGGTGATCGTAGGTGCCCCCGCCGGGTGGCCCAGTCGGGCGGGCGTCCCGACAGTGGGCCGCCTAATGCGAGCGGAAGGAAGGAAGGAAGGAAGGTGGAGGAAGAGGAGGAGGAGAAGGAGGACGAAGAGGAGGAGGAGGAGCGGAGGAGGAGGAGGAGGAGGAGGAGGAGGAGGAGGAGGAGGAGGGGGAGGAGGAGGAGGAGGACATTTTGCGTGTCGGCTCGGCCGCCCCCACCGCCCACTGCGGCCAGCATCGCCGCAGTGGATATCGGCGCCCGCCGGCGCGCAACGCCGAGGAGGGTGAGGCGAGGCGGGAGGAGCGCGAAGAAGGAGGGGGGGAAATGAGGGGGGGAAGGGGGCCGAGAAGGGCTGAGGGAGAACGGAAGAAGGAGGCAGCCATGAACGAGTAAGGGGGTGGGGCGCGGGAAGACGGGAGGCAATGGGGGGTTTGAGGGAGGGAGGGGGGGGGGGACGAGGGAATGGCCAACAAGACCCCCACCAGATTCCAATGAAGGCTCCAATCGGGTTCCGATGACATCCCAATCCAACCCTGATAGAATCTCAAATGGATCCCAATCCGATTCCAATACGCATTTTGTACGCAACATCCCGATTGGACTTCAATACCGTCCCAATCAGATCAAGCTTGGCTGGCCAACAGGATGCTCAGGACTCCTGGAGAGGAGGGGTGGGGAGGGGAGGAGAGGGAGAGGAGTGGGGGGGGGGGAGAGGAGGGGCGGGGAGAGGGAAGGGGGAAGATAGGGAGAATCGGGAGGGGAAGATAGGGAGAAGAGGGAGGGGAAGGGAGGGCAGAAAGGAAAAGGGAGGGGATGAAGGAGAGAGGGGAGGGGGGAGAAACGGGGGAGGGGAGGAGAGGCAGAGGAGGGTGGGGGAGGGGAGAAGAGGGAGAGGATGAGGAAGGATCGTTTTTTAGGTTTGCCAGCACGCAACAGGTAAAGCCAGCTGAAGACAACTCGCTGCTGCTCAGACCTGTCGAACATCAGAACAGCAAGGATCAGACTAGGAACCGACATCTGCGGCCAGTCCGACCCATCTGAAAACCCGCCAGCATACGACTTAGCCTCCCACTCGAAACGCAGTCTAGAAAGAATGGAGGCGAGCTGAGCTCACTCAGGGCCATGTGCTCTGAGAGGAGGAGCATGGGAACTGGCGGCAGAGGGCGAGCCCGATGTCTAACGGCTCCGCTCTGCAGCACGAGCGCTGGGTGAAGGCTTCGCTTGCAATCCTCAAGCCTGACAGCAGACGCTTGGCTCTCTGGCACTGCAGCCGAAGGACCTCGGTAGCTAGGCAGAGGGCCTTTCTCGATGCGGGTCAGTTTGTGACCTTTCCGCCTTCAAAGACGGTTGTCCACATTCGCGGACTAGCTGACTCGGCTCCGTCGTGGCCAAAAACTGAGGAGTGCGCGACTCGTGCAGGACCCCTCCCCAAATCCAAGTCACCCCGCTCAGCTCCCGCACCGAATCGCACTCCTCAATGCTAGCTTACGTTCTATTTTGGCACAAGGCGCATATGGTAACCCTGTGTATATATATATAGACAGATAAGTCAGAGTGAGGGGGCCGAACGGTCATTCACTGTCCCTGGGCGCGTGGCTGAAACGAGATTCTGCGGTGCGGATTGTTGTTGCTGTTGTTGTTGTCGTTGTTGCTGTTGTGGTTGTTGTTGATTGCTGTTTGTTGCTTGTTGTTTGTTGTCCCCCACACGACAAATTGGGGCTGTTAGACTGCAAACGCAGGCCCGGCCCCCCTGGCCATCCCCACCCTGCGTACCGCGGCCGCCAGACCCAAAATGTCACGAGGGTCCCGCATATCCTTGGTGTCCCGACTCGCGCCTGGACAACCCCACCATGAAAACCGCGGCCGTCAGACCCCAAATTGTCCGGAGTGTCCCGAGTATCCCTGGTGTCCCGCCTCGCGCCAGGCCAACCCCAACATGCACCCTGCGGCAGCCAGATCCCAAGTTGTCCCGAAGATCCCGCCTCGCGCCCTCGACGAACATAACAGAACACAACAGAACATAACATAACCGAGCATAACAGATCACAGCTTGACAGAACATATCATGTCATGAAACAGAATCACAAAACCTGCCAGAGCACGACGGCGGAAACTGGCGACGTCGTAGACGACAGAACAAAGCATGACACAACAAAGCATGAAAGCACATAACACGAGCATGACCTAACATGACATAACATAACAAAGCAATGCCATGGCAACATAATGGAATATGAAGAACATCACATACCAGACCAAATCAGAATATGGCAGAACATAAAACAACATAACACAACACAACATACCATAACCGAGAAAAACATAACATACCTTGACATAGCATATCACATAATGACGCAGTCGCCGAACATATCAAGAAACACCAGCATAACATAACAACACATACTAGAAGAGCAAATCATAATATACACTACAGAGCCGAGCCGTCAGCAAACACACCATCATAAAACATACCAGAGCAGAGCATGGCAGAACAGAAGAATACAGCACACAACATAACATAACATACCCGAGCACAACACAACACATCTTTACAATTCATATAAAACCATGGCTCAACACCATCGAATCTAGCATAATCCGGCAACAGAACATAGCGACACATGATGGCAAACAAACAATATACTATACAGAGCCGGACCCTCAACATACATAACATGGCAGAACATACCAGCGCAGAACATGGCAGAACAGACGAGGGCAGAAAACAGCATAACAGAACAGAGCCGAGCATGACATATCACACCTTGACAGAACATATCATATCGTGACACTGCATACAGACCAGATCGGAACACGACGGCAGAGCGAAGCGACGCCGAACACGAAAGAACACAACACGAGCATGACAACATATTACAGAAAATCATAGCAATGTCTTGACACAACAGGGCGCAACATATCAGCATATAATAAACCAGAGCAGAGCATGACATAATAGAAGACGACTTTACACAACATAAGAGAACATAGCCGAGCAGATCATAACACATTTTGACAGAACATGCCACATCATAACACAACATCACAGAACATATCATAGCACGACAGCAGAGCATAGCGACACGTAAAAGCAGAGCAAACCAAAATATACGATACAAAGCCGAGCCGTCAACAAACATATTGCCACAGGGCATACCAGCGCAGACCATGGCATCACAGAATATGGCATATCCCAACATACCATAAACTAACGAATCATACCATAACACACCATGACATCGCAGATAAGATCATATCATGACTGCATCACAGGACATCTCATAACACGACAGCGGAGAACAGCTGATAAGACTAGCATAACCGATCGGTCATCATGTACTCCACTGAACCGAGCTGTCAACAGCATCACGAAACGAATCATACGATAACAAATCCTGACATACCATATCAAACCATAGTGACACATAACAGATCATACAATAACATCTCAAACGTATATGGTGAAAGAGATGAGCATTCCATAACGCACTCAATCCGAAGAGAAACATAAGTGGAGAGGAACAGCACAACAGACGACGCATCTAAGGTCACAAGCGTCACGACGTCACGCCAGCACGTCGAGGGCAGAACAAGACATTATTGAGCACGACATGAAAGGACGTGACTACGTATAAAACGGTTGAACCGTCGAATCCAGCAACGGCAGTCGTCGACCAATCAGGCGACAGCGCGTCGTCGGGAACAAATGCTCAAGGTTTCGGTGGGGATCGCTCGAAACAAAATAATTGTTGTTTATTGTTTGCTGTCATCGTCTAACCCCCCGCGACCCACCCGCGTCCCACCCGCGACACGGCCCGCGACCCGGCCCGCGACCCACCCGCGACCGCCCGCGACCCACCCGCGACCGTCCTCGACCCACCCGCCACCCACCCGAGACCCTCCCCCGACCTACCCGCGACCCACACGCGGCCCGGCCCCGCGACCCACCCGCAACTCACCCGCGACCCACCCGCGACCTACCCCGCGACCCACCCGCGACCCACTCCGCGACCGCCCCACATTGCTTTCGAACATTCAGCGCCTGCGGCGAGCTCGTTATATGATTTGTGAAAACTCTGCGCCTGCGGCGCCCTTCTCCAGAGCCTCGCAGACTGCCGACGTGACCGCCGCCCTCCCACTCTTATCCACAACTGCGAGGTGCTACGCGCACACTCACACACACTGAAGGCTTGACATGACATGCCTAGAGGAGGAGAGGAGGAGGAGGAGGAGGAGGAGGAGGAGGAGGAGGAGGAGGAGGAGGAGGAGGAGGAGAAGGAGGAGGAGGAGGAGGAGGAGGAGGAGGAGGAGGATGCCCTCGCCAGGAATGGTCCTGGGCTAAGGTGTTCCCAGCTTCATCATCATGGAGCCCCTGGGCCCCGCTTGGGATGCTCGGGAATCCTGGGGATGAGCAGGAGGAGGAGCAGGAGGAGGAGAAGGAGGAGGAGGAGGAGGAGGGAGAGGAGGAGGGAGATGAGAAGGAGGATGAGGAGGAGGAGGAGGAGGAGGAGGAGGGAGGAGGAGGAGGAGGAGAAGGAGGAAGAGGGAGATGAGGAGGAGGAGGAGCAGGGAGATGAGGAGGAGGAGCAGGAGGAGGAGGAGGAGGAGGGAGGAGGAGGAGGATGAGGAGGAAGACGAGGAGACACATGGGGGAGGCCCGTGCCCTGAAAGGGTGCGGCCGGGCCGGGGCGGCGGGGCCCTGGCGGCAGGCGCCTCTCGCTGATAGGCATGTTTTCCACCACCACCACCATAGGTTGGAGGGGGAGCTTCTCCTCCTCCTCCTCCTCCCTCCTCTCCTCCTCCTCCTCCTCCTCCTCCTCCTCCTCCTCACCCTCCTCCTCCTTCTTCCCCCTTCCAACTTATGGTGGTGTGGCGGTGGAAAACAGGCCCATCATCCCGCGGGAGGCGTGGCCGAGCTGGCGGCGCCCACACAGCAGCGGCGCGAGAGGGGCGGCCCTCAAAACGGATTGGGCAGGGACGGACCGTCCCAGCACTCCCAGAGGCCTACAACGGGATGTCCTTAGAACGAGAGAGTGGTCCAATAATGACAACATGGTATAGTAATAATTATAATAATACTAATACGAATACTATTAATAATAGTAATGATGATAATAATAATACTAATAATAATAATGATATAGACAGATAATAACAATGATACTAATACTACTAGTAATTCTAACAAATAATCATACTAGCCTCAACCAAACATGTTCTAACAATATTCCTTGAGAACCCACCAAGGATACTAGAACATTATTTGGTGGGCCAAAAGGGGAGCCAGGACGTTTAGCCGCTGCTTCAAAGGAGGCCTCCAAAATTGGGGTCCGAATCGAAGGGTTCCGATAATCGAGCCGCATCGGTGATGCATCGGTGATGCATCGGCGACATCGGCGATGCATCGGCGACGTCGGCGTGGAGAAAATCTGGCTCCACATCAAGCCGCACTGATGCATCGGAGATGCAGCGCAACCCTCCGACCCCATCTATTTATCCCTGCAGGATGATACGCGGCCGACAGCAGAGCCACTTTGATATGATTGATGGAGGGGCCACAGCAACTTGCTCCGAACGCTCTCTTGATTACAGAAGGTGTTGTGGGATCAGTGCCCCGAAACAACTCGCATTTCCAAACGATAGCCTCTTTTGACCCAGGGTCACACGCAACCTACACTGACCGAGCTGGCGGCGCCCACCAAGGAGCGGCGCGAGAGAAGGGGCTTTCTACGAACCCCAATCTCCGAAGGCCTGTTTTTGCTGTTCCCCATCTGGGCGTTTTTCCCGTATGTCGGGCCTTCCAGGGTAGCGTTCGGGCCCGTGGGCCATCAGAATACGGATGCGGGCGAAAAAACACCCCCAGGGAAGGGGATTCAAAACATGTCTAACCGCCGCACGTCGAGAAAGGCAAGGGGGGGGCTCCTCAGAAGGTTCCCGCGGCTTCCGAGAAGCCTTCTCGGAAGCCTCCGGGGGGGCCTCCCGAGGAGGCCCCGCGCCTCCCCCGCACCTGTGGGCGGCGCCTCCAGCGACGCCCCTCGCGCCCACCCCCGCTCTGGGGAATGGGCGCGCGGGAGAATGGTCCGGGCGGGGAGGACACGGGCTCGACGGGAGCCGCCCGATGCGAGGCCCTCTCGGCAGCCCCCGCCTTCTCGGAAGGCCGCCCCTTTCGCGCCACCGCGCGTCACTCCGCGACCTCGGCGAGGTGGGACCAGTGGCCCTGGCAGAGCTCGTCGTCGCTGTCCTCGCCGCTCGGGCAGCGGAACGTCTGCAGCTTGCCGGCGGCGGCCCTCGGGACAGGGGGGGGCGTGCGGATAGGACCGGGGTCGGTCAGGCGGCTGCTCTGAGGGGGGGCGTCTCGGGGAGGCCAGCTACGATGTTCGAGGCTGGAGGTCTGAGAGGTTCAGACTCTTTCGATCGTTCTCGGCGGCCCTCCAGGCTCTTGATACTTTCCAGCGGCTGCGCCTCGCCAAGAGAGTCCTCGAAGTGCCCAGATCGTCCCGAACGGCCGCCGACGGCCCGAGTTATGACCCAAAAGTACCAGGTGACTGTCTCAGGGTGGGGGGGGTCATCGAGCTTGAACCGGCGATGCATCGTCAATAGATCGGCGGTGATCCCCCACAGGCCTATCACCCCCCGAACATTGCCCCTCACACTCCTTGACCTTGACGATCCACCACCACCAGAGCGAGGTCATCCTGGTGGTCCTCCTGGTGGTGTGGTCCCCCCATCCCCGCTCGAGACATCCCCTGTCTCTGGCTTCGGATGGCACCGTGGACATCCTCGCCGGAGGCGGCAGCCCTGTGTTGGTGCCGCGTGCATGAAAAGAAACACTCCTTGACGAGCAGAACTGTCAAAGTGAAGGGGCCCCAGGACACACAAATAAATACACACAAATACAAATATTCCCCATATTTTCCCATATGTTCTAGGTTTTCGTCTTCTCCCCCACTTCCCATATTTTCCCATACTTTCCTGGGGATCGACGAATAATTGTGTCTGTGTGTTTCTTTCCCTCCTGACAATGGTCCGCGCGGTTTTCCAGGATCGGCGTTGCACCCTCCCTCCCTGGCGCGCGGAGCGCGCCAGGGTTTGCGCTGGAGGCGCCGCCAGGGGCGCCCAGCGCCGATCCCAAAAAAAAATCCGCATGGACCCCGGAAGTTCTGCGCGACATACGAAAGTGCCAGCTCGCGCAGCAACTTGGTCCTTTGCACTAGGCAGCCACACCTGCGAAGCCTTCGCGAGACCGATTATGCCACGTGATTGTTCGGTGAACCGCGGGGCTGCTGAGCCGGACTTCGCCGAACGAAACAACATCTTGAGCTGCATTTGACGGAACTCTGCCAGATCCACGCCGAAGCTGAATTGACTCCCGTGGGAGCTGCACCCTGAGAGCAACCAGAACGAGGAAAGTTGTCTACGCTGCCCAACAGCACCGGACCAAAACCACTCGGAACGCTTCAGTGAAAGCACTGACTGGGGAAGCATACAGTCGACCCGTATCATAAGGATGCGCAAAAGGGATACGAGGGCCCTGGAAGGCATTGCCAACACCTCGCGAGCGAAGCGCTGCAAGGTGCCAATGATGGTCCGAAAGGGAAGGATACAAGAGTAACACTGGAAAACCGCTCATCCGATGCGGGCCGACTGTATCTGAGGAATCCAACAGGTACCGATACCGCTACCCCCTGGACCTCTCCTGGGGTTCGTTCTGACCCCGATTTCGAAGCGAATCCAGCGGTGGCGACGAGGGCCGCCCAGGAGGCCCAATCAGGGGAAAACAAGGGAAGGGCCTCTTTATCCTCTGAGGAGGAGGATTAGGAGGAGGACGAGGAGGAGGAGGAGGAGCGGGAGGAGGGTGAGGGGGAAGGGAAGGAGAAGGAGCGGAGGAGGAGGGGGAGGAAGAGGAGGCGGAGCAGAAGGAGGAGGAGGGGAGGAGGAGGAGAAGGAGGAGGAGGACGATGACGACAGCGATGATGTGATGATCATGGTGATGCTGCTGATGATTTCGATGATGATGGGTTGCGATGACGCTGATTGCGATTAGATTCCAAGATGGTGATCGGTGATGACGACATGCATCAGGCGGAGGAGGAGGAGGAGCAGAAAGACGAAGAGGAGCAGGAGGAGGAGGAGAACCAGGCAGAAGAGGAGGAGGAAGAGAAGGAGGAGCAGAAAGAGGAGGAGGAGGAGGAGGAGGAAGACCAGGCAGAAGAGGAGGAGGCGGCAGGCCGAGGCATCGCCGCAGATCTCCGCAGCTCGGCCCGCCCCCGCGGGGAGCGCCTCGTCTCCGGCGCGCCCTGCCCCCCGGCGCAGCTCCCCGGCCCGCCGCGGGCGAGCAGGGCCGCGCACGGGTCCCGCGTGGCCTCGGGCCGATGCGCGGCGCTGGCCGTGGTGAGCACTGAAGAGGACGCTTGAGCATTTGGGAGGGAACCTCCTCCTCCTCCTCCAATTCCTCCTCCTCCTCCTTCTCTTCCTCTTCCTCCTCCTTCTAGTTTTCCTCCTCCTCCTATTCCTTCTCCTCCTCCTCCTCCTTGTCCTTCTCCTCCTCCTTGTCCTTCTCCTCCTCCTCCTCCTCCTCCTCCTCCTCCTCCTCCTTCTCTTCCTCCTCCGCCTCCTAAGCTGAAAGGATCTAGGGTCATGTTCTGCAGATTGATCGAAAACACCGCCCAGAAGTATCATCCCTAATGCAAAGACGGAGACCGAAGCGAGGCCACGCCTTCACTGTGTTATTAGAGTCGAGATATCTTGTATCCTCGATGAGACTGGCCGTCCGAACCGTCTGGCCGCGGGGGCGGAGTGCTTTGAAGTAGAACGAAGCCAGGACGAGCGGCTCCGGATGCCTCGGGCGCACAGCGTTCTGGGACGCTCCCAAAACTTGCCAGAACGCTCTAGATCGGACATGGGCTTGGTGTCTGTTCCATGGGAGCCTACACGGGGCCGCGCGCTGTTCGATCTGAGACTGATGTAGATTGTCTGAAATACATGTGGGACAGGATGAGAACTGGACTTGGACCAGATTCGCCCTTTCATAAGGGAGACGAAAAGAAAGAGGAGGGGGAGGAGGAACAGGAAGGGCAAGGAGGAGCCGGCAGCAGGGCTAAATGCGGTTCAAATGCGGTCCAAACGAAAGAGAAGCCGACTCCAATGTCGTCGCACAAGGCTCTCGTGAACTTACATAGAACATGGAATCCGAGTTAATTAGGTCGGAGTAACACGCCGATTCGCTCATGCATCGCTGATGCATCCGCGACGTCAACGAAGCATCAGCGATGCGAGCTTCGAGAATCTCGCGCTCCACATAGAGCCCGGAGCCGCATCGCCAATGCGTCAGCGATGCGGCACGATGCTCCGGCCCATCTGGTTGGACTCCATCTAGGAGGCCCACAGAGGAGGAGGGGAGGAGGAGGAGGACTAGTGTAAACCCAAGAGTCATCACCGATGTTGGAGTAAACCCTCCCCCCAAGTCCCTCTTCATAGGCCCCTAGAACGGTTTATTTCCATTGATGGAACTGCCTCGTTTGAAGACACCCGTTTGAAGACCCTGAAGCATGCCGAAAGATTGTTCTCGGGCTTCCAACGCCACGGATCAACCTGATTACGTCTTGACGATCCAGAATCGTGCCGGAAAGCCATTCCGAGGACTTCAACACAGAGAATCAACGTAACTGTTGCACTCGCATGTTCTGAATCCTTCCGAACACACAAATTCTATACGTTGATGATGGGAATCCGTGAAACTCTTGCACATGTTTGAAACGAATGTGCGGCGCGCCAAGGCGTGAGCCACATTTTGAAAAAGAACCGCCCTCACTCCGTGAAACGCTTGCAAATTTGTAAAATGAATGTGCGCCGCGCTAAGGCGATCCACATCTTGAAAAAGAGCCGCCCTCAATCCGTTAAACTCTTGCAATTGTTTAAATGACTGTGCGCCCCGCTCAGGCGAGAGCCACATTTTGAAACCACCCGCACTCCATCTGTGCAACTGTTGCAAATTGTTATGCTTCATAATCAGAAAGGGTGAGGAACCTCCGGCAAAACGCCCGGCCCGCCCCAAAAACTGGCCTCGGGGTGTGACAGGGGGAAGTTACTTATAAGGAAAAGGAATGGAGGAGGAGGAGGAGGAGGAGAAGGAGAAGGAGAAGGAAAAGGACGAGAAGGAGGAGGACGAAAAGGAGGAGGAGGAGGAGGACGAGAAGGAGGAGGAGGAAAAGGAGGAGGACGAGAAGGAGGAGGACGAAAAGGAGGAGGAGAAGGAAAAGGAAAAGGACAAGGAGGAGGACGAGAAGGAGGAGGACGAAACCGACGGCCCCCTCTTGGAGGCCTGGACTTTGGCCCCGACCACGGCGACGACGTCCCGGCGACGACTGGCCGCCGCAGCGCAGCTCAGCCCTGAGATCCTGGCGCCGCACCCTCCCTGGCGCGCGGAGCGCGCCAGGGGCGGCGCCGGAGGCGCCGCCAGGGGGCTTCGGCGCGGATCCGCGAAGTCCGCAAGGACCTCCAAGTTTTTACGCTTATGCCACTTTCTGTTCCCCTACACCTGTCCCAGGGAGTAATTCGGGGCTGCCGGGGACCCTTCATGTTAAATCGTCAGGCGACCGCATGTCTGGGACGGGATCTCGGACGGCACTTCGTGGGCGCAGCGCCCCATCGAGGTACCCCCAAGGTTCTCCATCCTCACTCATGTCCGGACGCTCCCAGGGCCCAGCGAGGGGAGGCCGAGAAATCCGCGCGGGCCTCCGAGTTGTTATGCTTATGCCACTTTTGCTCCCCTAACAGAGGGCCTCCTAGGTGGGGTCCGAGCAGATGGGGTCGGAAGGTCGTGACGCATCGCCAGTGCATCGGCGACGCATCGGCAGTGCATCGGCGATGCATCGGCGACGCACTGGCGACGTCGGCGTGGAGAAAATCGGGCTCCGCATCGACCCCCTCTGCTGCGACCCAATCTTGGAGGCCTAGACACCCAAGGTTTCCCATCCTCGCTGAGTGTCTGGGCGCTCCCAGGGCCCAGCGAGGGGCGGCCGAGGGAGTGGCCCAGCACCTCCCCTCGTGATCTGGCGCTCGGCGCGGTTGCCTCTGGGCCGCCTCGGCCTTCCTCCTCGCGCCTCCACCTTCCCGCCCTCACCCTCCTCGTCATCCCTGCCGCCGCCGTCGGGCGATCGGGGGCGCGCATCACACACCGCTTGCCGACCCTGAACGCCGAAAAATGTTAGCTCGACGCCGCGGCGGGGTGTCAAGCAAATCTGCAACTTATTCACGCAGGGCTCTCATGGTCCACCAGCATGGCGGTCCAAGGCGACAGCGCAACTGGAACCGCCCGAACCGACAGCGAGGTCGAGACTGGACCTGCGAGGAACAGCCGGGCCGGACGCAACGGCGCGGAAACGACGGAACGACCAACGGAACCGAACCGACCGCATGCAGCCAGGTCGCTCCCTCTTTGGCACTGCCGCTCAGCTGTTCAAGCTCCCGTCCGCTCGAGCCCTTGCTGCCGATTGTACTTCCCCCGCCCGCCCCCCAGCGGTCGGTGCGACTGTGAGCTCACATAGAGAATCACCCCTAAGATTGAGAGAGAGAGAGAGAAACAGAGAAAGAGAGAGAGAGAGAGACAGAAGCTGATAGCAAACACGCACATGAAGATGAAGGGAAAAAGCCTCAGGGGGCATCGCAATACCGAATGACGGTGGCGTGCAAGGCTAAGACCGACAAGACAAACAAAAACAATGATTACCTGGAGAATGTGTCCCGAGAAACCCACGGTCAGAGGTTCGCGCGGACTTCTTGGGTCGGCTCCGGGAATCCCATGAGATCACAAAATCGAGTCGATCAGTCGCATCGGCGAACGAAACCAATCCTCTCGGCGGAACCCGGCAGCCGAGTCGGGAGAAGCCGGATCGGCGGAAACCGGCAGGCTGGCATGCCTCCAGTGCGACGTCGGAGCCCAGGTCGGCATCCCGAGACGAATGGGATCGGCATCGGAGGCCATCCGAGGCCGAATCGAACCGCGTCGGAGGCATCGCAGCGAGCCCCGAAACCCCGCTGGCGCGCGCGGGGCCGCAGGGCACCAGGGGCAGCGGCGGCGGGCTGCGGCAGGGAAGCCCCCCGCGGGCCGGGCCTCTGCTGCCTCGTGCCACTCGGCAGCAGCGTGCGAGGAGGAGGAGGAGAATCATGAGACGAAGCCAGGCCGAGGATAGGATCGGGACTGGGCACATCGAGAACCTCTGAGATCCTGCGGCTCTCGAGGATGCCTCGGGCGCCGCGGCCTTCCCTCAGCGAGCGTTCTGGGGCGCTCCGGGGGAGCGCTGGACAGCTCTGGAGCGGATCCGTCCTCGTCCCAGCTCCGCCCGAGAGGATCGGGGGAGAAGTTAGCAGAAGAACAGCATGTCGCAACATCCGAACCCTACAGGGCAGTTTTTTATACATATGATTTTTAAGCATATAAGAATTTTAATACATGATTCATGTATGTATACATGTATGCATGAACTCCTCGTTGCTTTGAATACTAAATCCCTGCATGTTTTAATACATGCTCCGCACGCGGAGCATGTATCAAAAACGGCACTGTATGGCGTACACTTCGCCACGTGCTCGGCAGAGTCCGAGCCCAGCCCCCGCCGCCCAGCACCTTGCCCGAGTCGGTGGCCGGCGGGGGCAGGGGCCAGGTTCCGCCGCCAGAGTATGCAGAAGCACGAGCAGGGGGCGACAGACTCAGAAGCAAACTCGGAGCTGGAGCACTCAGACTCAGAAGCAAGCTCAGACTCGGACTCAGAAGCAGGGGCAGCAGACTCAGACTCAGGAGCAAACTCAGAAGCAGACTCGACCACGTGCTCGGCGATCAGTGCTCGGCCAGGGTAGGGGGCGGGTCCTCTGCCGCCGAAGGGAAAGGGACGAGCAGGGGACGAGAACGCTCGAGAGCAAACTCGGGCGGGCGGCGCTGGGGTGTGGTCCCATTGGAGGGTGAAGAAAAGGGCCCCAAAGGGGCCCTTTAGGGCCCCTTTTGGACACCAACGGGCTGCAAAAGTAAAGGGCCCCTTGCGGGCCCCTTTTCTTCACGCCCCACTGGGGCCACCCCCGAGCACCACCCGCCCCACAACGCGGACCTGGAGCAGCCCACGGTGCCAACCGGCGCTCGGCCGCAGAAGGGGCCGAACCCCGCTCCGCGTGGTGCCAGCGACCAACGGGTTGAGCAGGGACGGACAGTCCCGGCAATTCCTTTGGGCCTAGCGCGGCGCATGCTTAACCCAAACCTGTTCTAAGACAAAATCAACGCTTCTTGCCCGAAGCTTTCTAAGAACACTTCTTGCATACCCCCAACAGTTGTTAGAGCATTCTTTGGTGGACCCCTCAAAATTCTTAGGCAAACCAAGACACGTCGCCACTGCACGAAAAGGGGGGACGGCTGAGCTTTCCGGCGTCGTCCTCGTCGGCGCCCTCCTCCTCCGGCACGTACCAAACCTCGCGGGAACCGTGTCTGCCGCATCTTGAAAGTAATGACATGTTATGCACATGCAAGGTCCGTCGGATGTGTCGCGTGAAGAGTTCGCTCTCACGGGGGGGGCGCGTGCGTGAGGACAGGGAGCCGAGAACATGTTTAGTTCACGTAGCCTTATTAGGCTCGTCGATCCTCCAAGCCCACGACTGCCCGACGACAGCCCCGCGACGGCATCGTAGAGCATTGGGGGCGCGGACGCCGTGGAGGCCCTGAGCAGTCCCTGGGAAGCCCCTGGCACCCCCCCGCCTGGGGGGGCGGCCCGTATGACCCGCCGCTCGCGCGATTACAACCAGGTGCTCTTGATTGCAATAGCGATATGTAATGTTTAATCCTCCCTCTGGCAATTTATTTCAACAACACCAGAATCAAATTCTATTCTAAATCCCCACATCCAAAAACAATGTGAACGCAATTTACAAGTTGACTTTGCTCTTACAAGTTTTCCAGAGGCAGCGACCATCTAAATCAATGTGTTCTCAATTTACATGTTGACTTTGATTGTGGGGATTTCCAGAGGTTGCGAACATCAAAAACAATTCGTACTCCATTTATAAATCGATTTTGAGTGTGGGGAATTCCAGACGCTGCGCCTTCGAACCGCGGGAGCTTACCAGGGAAGCAGGAAAAACAAGAACCGACGTCTTCACAATGGAAAGTATGACCAAAAACCAACATAATACGTGGGAGGGTCGCCGGTCCTATTATTAAAACAAAGCAGAATGCTGGCATTCATACGCTTTCTCTTGTTATATGTCTATATATATACATATACATACATACATACAACATGTCACTACGTGACAAAACACGTTTTATGCATTTCCTGTTTTTCCTGTTTTCTTGGTAAGCTTCCGCGGCCCAAGCACTGCCTCTGGAATTCCCAACAACCAAAACCAGTTTGCAATTGGATGACACATTGATTTTGATTCCCAGAGACAGCGAACATCAAAATCAATGTGATGTGAAATTTATTTACAACTTGGTTTCGATTGTGGGAAATTCCGGACGCAGCGCCTTCGGACCGCGGAAAATTACTAGGAAAACAAGAAAAACAGGAGAAACAAAAAAATGTTCCCACATGGAGAATTATGAAGAAGGCGAAAAACACATGTGATTGTCGCCATTTTTATTAATAGAACAAGCGAAAATCCGAACGAAACCAAGTTTTCTCCGTTGTTTTTCCACATTTTTCCATGTGAAAGCACAAGCTTGTTCAATGTGTGTTGCCGGTTTCGGTAAGCTTCCGCGGCCCAAGCGCTTCCTCTGGAATTCCCCACAATCAAAATGAATGCGCAAAGGGATTACACATTGATTTTGGTTGTGGGGCATCCCAAAGGCAGCGACAAGCAAAATCAATGTGCAATCCATTCCCATATGGATTTCGGTTGCGTGGAATTCCAGACGCAGCGCCTTGGACCGCGGAAGCTTACCAGGAAAACAAGAGAACCATAAAACACAAGAAAAAGCATATGCCTTCACATGGGAAATATGAAAAACAAAAAAACTGTCACTGCCAACTTTTGCATGTGTATGGATTAAAAATGGCGACGGTCGAAGATGTTCGTTGGTTGTTCCTGCTTACCCATGTGAAAACACAACATGTTTGTCATGGTGCCCATTTTTTTTGTTCCGTTGTTCCTGCTAAGCGTCCGCGGCCCAACGCGCTGCCTCTGAACACCCCCACAATCAAGATCAACTGGCAAATTGATTACAAGTTGATTTGATTATCGCTGCTTCTGAAAATCCCTACAACCAAAATCAAGATGTAAAAGAATTACACGTTGAGTTTGATTATCGCTGTCCCAAAATCCTATAATCAAAATCAAACACAATGCAACCCCTCCTCAAACGAAATCAACTTGAACACTCGGACAACCGAAGTCGATGTGTAAATCCCCAAGCACGAAGCCACTTGTTACACCGAATGACCCGATTCCCAAGCGGGAAGGCGGAATCGGCAGAAAGCCATGCAACGATCAAAATGAGCGCAAGAATTAACGCTGTTCCACGCGGCCACCGTTCACACAGGGATATGCCACCGAAACAACATATGTGTTCAACTACAGAAATTGAAGTCTAAGCCTCTGGCATTCAGCTAGCGCCTTTGGTGCTCTGAATGCGCAGCGGCACTGATGCGCTCGCGCTTGTTACTCTTCTTCGCCAGCTTGGGGTGTTTCCACTCTTCCACTGACTACATGCTCGGCGTCTTCACATGCCCTAGCCCAAGCTGCCGCCGAAGGAGAGCCATGGCGCGGTCGTGGCAAGGCGCTGGCGAAAGCTTCCGCATCCCCTCTGGCGCCCTTTTCTTCACGTTCATGAAACCACCTTGCCGAACGTGAACAAGTCCAACGTTAACTCGCAACGCTGGCGAGTCGAGGCGAAGGCGTTCGCGCCGTGTGCAATTTTTCCCAAAGCACAACCAAAGTGCACGAAACGCATCACTTGCGAGATAAGGGCGCGCATCATTCAGATGGGGTTGCGTTCCTTTTCGCGGCCCTCTCGCGGCCCCTTTTCGTCGCTCCTTTCTGGGAGGGCATCCGTAAATTGGACGCCCCTTTTTTCAGCGGGGCATCTCGCTAGGCTCTGGAAAATGCGCATCTGTTATGGGAGAGCATCTCGCAAGGCTATCATCGCCGCTCACGCCTCGTAGAAATTCACGCGGCCTATGGCCGCGTAGCAGCCGGTTTGCACGACGCGCAGGCGGCGCTGGAGGTCGGCGTTGCGCGTCTTCTCTTCGCGCGGCTTTTCGCCCTTCTTCAAGTTCTCGCAAATCTTGAGCGACGCTGACTTCAGTTTCGCCGCCGTCGCGGCCAGCTTTTGTTCCGCACGCGCCCGCCCCTTCTTCTCATTAAAGGGAACGCAAACAGGCGACACATGGAGGACTCGCAAAAAAATAATAACGTTTTCTTTGCAGGGGGCAATAGGTCGCCTGATTGCGACAACGATCCTCCAAGTAACTCTGCTTCCACAATTTCGCCTCCGCCCACGCTTGCTCGGCATCCTCGCGGTCGGCCTTCGCGTCGTCCTTGGCAGTCTTGGCGCTGCGGAAATGCAGAAAAATAAATTTACGTATCAGTTCGACAAGACGCCAAAAAATAATTGTTGGTTTTGACACCGACCCACAAAATCCTGAGGTTGTCTGCGTCGGTCCGGTGCTTTTCGGCTGCCTGCTCAAGTCTGTTCTTGGGTTTTTACTGCGGCCGCGCGGGCGCCCACTGCCATCAAGCGCCGTGTTCCGGGCTGAAGCATGAATTGTTCAAGGCGTTTTTGGCCTTGTAGTCAGCGTTTTTCTTTAGTTTCGCCTGGTAGGCTTTCGTGCCCTTTTTCAGGATCCCCATTTGGGCTGAAACCCCGTTTGCTTTGGGCCAAAACCTCGGCGCGGGAGGAGGGGGAGAAGGAGGAATGTGGAGGGGGGAATACGACGAATGACAATCGTGGGAAATAAAGAATACGATGACCAAGCAGGATGAATAAACTGACGATCGGCAGCAACAGTAAAGCCCCTGTTGAAATCATACGAACAGCGGGTCGCACGGGGGCGGCCCCTGGAGGCCAACGACGTGGCCCACTTCACTCCGCTGCCCCTCCACCGCGCTCCTCCGCCCGCGCTCCTCTCCTGCTCCCCGAACCACCTCGCCTCCTCTACAGTCGGGGCGTTGACCTAAGGCACCCTTAAATAAGGAACGAGGCCTTCTTTCCCATAGGTGAAGCTTCGATTTCCCATGGAAACCCTAAGGAAAACCCAAGGCAAACTGTAACACAATCAAGGAACACCGAGCCCCACCCCAACGAAGAGGGTTCCTTCTTCAGCGCCCCGACTGTAGTCCCTCCCCCGCCCTCCCACTCCCCCCTATGACTTTGATGTCCTGCCCTGCCCTGCCGCCCGCCCCCCCCCCCGTCTCTCACTTTCACCGGCTGCATCCCACTCTGCTCCTCCCCTCCCGTCCCCGTCCCCTCCCTTCCCTTCCGCCCCCTCACGCCCACTCCCCTCTCCCCATCCGCCGCCGACGACGACGACGGCGACGAAGGGTTCCCGAAGGCCCAGAAGAAAAAGAAACGCACCCAAAAGCATCGAACATCGCGATCCGCGACTCTACCACGACGATGGCGGTTCCCGAATATCTCCAGAGCCATCTGGATCAGCGGTTCAGAAACACCCCCCCTGAGGGATGGGCCATCATGACGAGTGGCCTCAAACTGTGAAGGTTCAGCCTAGTAGTCCCTTTCTGTTCTTTGACCCCCGTCCCTCCGCAGACCTCCGACGTCGCTGCGTATTGACGACGTGGATTATTGTATGAAGTCGGGACCCTTTCCTGGAGACCAACTCGTCATCCCGTGCCGCTTTTCGACGGCCCGAACGCCTGCGAAGGAATACCAGAGCTGAAAATTGCAAAAGGCCCTCCGCGTCTCCTGTCGCGACTCGGAGGAGCCTGGGTGAGGGCCCAGTCTTTGAACCGCCCCCCGGAGGCCTCCAGCACTAGAGGCCACCCTCATGCAGTGCGAGTTGCCGAGGTCGAAGGATCGCGGCGCATTGCCGATGTATCCCTGATGCATGGGCGACGTCGGTGAAGCATCAGCGATGTAGGCGTAGGTAATCTCGGGCTCCACTTGGAGCCGCATCGCCGACGCATCGGCGATGCGGCGCGACCCTCCGACCACATCTACTCCGACACCATCTGCAAGGCCTGGATCGGGGAGACGTACGACTCGGGCTCTGTGGACTCGGGTTGACCTGACGGGGCCATCATGAAAAGACGAGTCCCCGTCTGAAATTTGACGCGAACTCTCGCTGCAGACGTCCCACGAAAACTGGACAGTCAAAATCCAGGACGCGCTCGTCAAAAAGCAGACTCAAGTCTTACGGCTCCCCCGATGGAATCACGGCCCGATGGGGATCTGGGTCAGGGCCTCATCTTGCAACACAGCTCTGGAGACGTCTTTCTCCGCGAATGGGCTTATGAGTATTGTTTAGCCGATCCCCATCCCCAGCGGCCTGGCCTGGGCCCCACTGGCCGATTTACCCCCTAGATGGGGATATAGGTCGTTCCCTTCTGGTTTCGAGGGGTGTAACCCCCACTGGGGTGGAAACTTGGTAGGGGCATCGAAGGAAATGGGGAGTGGTCAAACGATACCGAGCTTTGGGGGGGCGCATAAATCTCAAACTGGACACTGATCGCCGATGGGGAACCGATGGTCCAGCCCGCCCAGCAACACGTGGCTTCGCCATCGGGGGCGCATTGCCGATCTAGCAGAGATAGATCGCATTATTCCCAGACGTCCGATGTCTTATGTCTTCCATGCTTCGTCGTCTCCAAAAGGTGTGGTTTGCAAAGGGCGTGGCTTGCAACCAGCACCCTGGGGAACATCCTGGGGAGCACCCAAGGGGGCGCGCGGGGACCTCGATAGATCTCTCCCGCGCCCTGAGGAAGCCCGACGAGGACTGCGTCGTACCCCCCAGGTCCCAACGGCGCCGATCGCAAACCACACCCCAGCGTGACCATACCCTCTGTACAGTCGCCGAACCATTACGGGGACCCCTCAAGCCCCGACTCTTTTCCCATGGCAACCTTTATGTCGGGCGTGCCTCCCTACAGGGAGATTTTTGACGATAAATAAAAAAAAATACCCAAAAAGTGCACCAAAAAGGTCAACGAATATCAAACAAATAGTCCCCAGACTATTGGATCAATTTTTTACTATTTTGGAGCATTTTTATTTTTCGTCGAAAATCCCCCTGTAGGGTTGACAGGCCCGACTTAAGGCCACCTGTCCATCGCGAGTGGCCTGTTGAGGGTCCCCGGGCATGGCCAGGGCCCCCGAGGCCGAAACGGGCCAGCCAACCTCCCGCCGTGAACTCTGTCCTCGGCGCGAGCACGCCTCGGGGGCATTGGGGGGGGCTCGTGCAGCTCATGGCCAGAGGCCTGCGCGCGGCCGAGGGGGAGGCGGGGCCCAGGGGGCATATGAATACAGGGAGAGGGGGCCAGGAAATCTGGGAGACATCATGGCCCCGGCAATGATGAACAAAGGGGCCCAGGAGGACACGGATCTCGGGATTCCCCACATGTTCATGCAGTTTCTGGGTGTTCGCCCTCACCACCCCCCACTTCCCATATTTGGTGCTAGAGCTCTCCCGGGAACCGACGATCACTTGTGTCTGTGTGTGCGTCGGCGATGCATCTGGGAGGCCTAGATATATCCACCCCCTCTCCCCTGGCCGTCGTCCCCTCTCCCGGCTGGCCCCCGCCCCTGCCTGGGCCGCCTCTTCTCTTCGGCGGCGGACAAACCTGAATGGGCCCTGGGACACACAAAGAAATACACACAAATACCCGGATTCCCAATATGTTCCTATATTTTCTGGGTGTTGCCTCCCCCCTCACTTCCCATATGTTCCGATATTTTCTTGAGAATCGACGATGGATTGTGTCTGTGTTATCTCCCTCCTGGAAACCTCACTCTAGCAAACCACCCTTTAGGAAAGAAACGGCCCAGAACCGAGACCGACGGACCTGGACCCGCAGCAAAATGACGGCCGCGACGCCCTCTCGCGCACCGAAAGCGGCCGATGCACTGATCGACGCGTCAGGGCAGGAGGTCCATCAACATCCGATTTTTTGGGCGCCCGAGTTATCCGGGGTAACTCGGGTCCGGGGTAACTCGGTTTGGATTCCCGAAAAACGACCCCGAGTTAGCCCTGACCCGAAATACCCCTGATGAATTGGGGCTCTGGGCGCCCGAATTATCCGGGGTCACTCGGGCCCGGGGTAACTCGGGTTCGGGATCCCGAAAAGCGAACCCGAGTTAGCCCTGACCCGAGTTACCCCCCCAGACCCCTGACGTCGTGATTTTTCACAACGTCGACCCCCAGCGGTCTGGACCCCTTCCCCGGGACCGGCTGTTCATCCCGAGTCGTTTCTTGACGGTCCCGAGGCCCGGGAAGGGTTCCCGGAGGCCGAAAATAGGGAAAAACCTCCCGTCGTGATTTTTTCACGACGCGAGGGGGTCTAGGCCTGATGACTCGGGGCTCTGAACTTTTGCTCCCAGGGGCGTCGCCTGCGCACCCGACCTCTCGACCACTTCCCCGACCTCTCGACCACTTCCCCAGGGCCGGTTTTTCATCCCGAATCGTTTTTTGAGGGTCCCGAAGCCCGGCGAGGGCCCCGAGAGGCCAAAAACTATGAAAAACCTGTGTCTCGATTTTTTCGAGACGCCCGATGTCTGGGGAGGTCCATCAACATCCGATGTTTGCTCCCAGGGGCGCCGCCTGCGCACGCGCGCCGCCCTCCGGCGGCCGCGCCGCCCGGGCCGCCGCGGCGCCCCTGGCGACGGCCGCCGGCGCGGCGGCCGCCGGGCCCGTGCGGCGGGGAGGCTGCGCCTCGCGGGTGGGGCGGTGCCCCAGGCGGCCTGCTGCCCCACCTCCCTCCTCCAGCCTCCTCCAATCTCCTCCCCCCTCCTCGTCCCTCCTCCCTCCTCCTCCCTCCTGCCTCCTCCTGCCTCCTCCCTCCCTCCTCGTCCCTCCTCGTCCCTCCTCGTGCCTCCTCGTGCCTCCTCCTCCCTCCTCCTCCCTCCTCCCTCCCTCCTCCTGCCTCAGGCTCCGGCCCCAGTGGAAACATTTCCCACTGGGGGGCTAAGGGCCCATGCGCGCCGTCCAGACCGCCCCCTTCTCCAGGGACAGCCGCGCGCCGCGAGATGCTTCCGGCCAGCGCCATGGCGACTGGCCGAGGCCGCCCCTGCGCGCCGCCGTGCGCAGGCTCTGCTTCGCGGCCCGAGTCGGCCGCCGACCTTGCCTGTGCTACGTGGCTAGCCTCGCTCGCGCAGTCGTTGCTGCCGATGCCCAAAGTCGTTCTCGTGCTCGGCCTGAAATTCAACCTGTCGTCCAGATCGATGACATGCCGCCGATTGTGGATGCCGTGGCCAGCACTGCGACCGTCCCTGCCGCCGGACCAGCTGGCGCGGCGCCCGCGGTAGCTCCCAGGGCGGATGCTGGCGCTACTGTCGCGGTCGGCAACGTGGTGCTACAGCCTGGCCTGGCGAGGGCTCTGGGGCGGACGCCTGACCCTTATGAAAGGGTCTCGCCAGAGCTGGCCGTCATCCTCCGGCGCAACGCCGAGTTCCTGGATCAGCGACACGTCCAGGCGATGCCGATGCACGTGGAGCGGCCCGATGGCGCCGAGGCGGAGGCGGCTGCTTGGTGTTGGCTGCCGGCCCCGCTTCCACCTCCAGCT